CCCCCCCAATCAAAATGTTTTTTAAAGTTTCAAAAAAAATAAATTATCACCCATCTATTTTGAAATTCAAGCTTTCCAAGACAGATACTCTCGGTCTACCCCTCCATCGTTTGCCTTCAATTTTACCAAAGAAAGCCAGATGTGCAAGGCTCTTTTGTCTATTCAATTGTCCCAGAAACTGTGTGTACTGCTTTTTATTAGCGAGCACCCACACGTGCGTATTCAAGCACAACCTCATTGAATTAAACCACTCTCAACAGCCCCGTAAGAAACCGCATTTCTGCAGCTTCAGTTTTATTTTCTTTGTCTTCAGAGGATGTCCGGCCTTCACAATCGTATATAAGGGTTGAACATACATAGCCAATTGCATACCTACGCTAAGGATATTGAATATGTACTTACACTAAAACAAAAACAACATGCTTAAATTTTAAAAAGCACATATTGTGCAACGTATTTTTGGGAAAATACGAATAGCAAGGACGATGCAGTGAAGGTCTTACGTATTACTTATCTTAGAACTGGACACTACTTTAATTCATGCAGCCAGCTCATATTTTGCATACACACGGAACAAAACAGTTGAGATGAAAAGGAATAAGCGAGAAGATAAGATATTTTAATGTTATCTATAAGCAAATAATTATATAAGAAACCAAATGAAAAACATGTGTTGTGTCTTGTTCAGGCTAGAAGTTGGTCTGGTTGTTGAAAAGATTTTGATAGAGGGGGGTGGGGGGTGGATATATGTCACGACGAACGTTGCTTCAAAGCAGTCAAAGGGCCTCTATAATCGTGGCAAACAAAAGAAAAGAAATTAATGGAATAGGAACAAAGAATCTACTCTCCGCAGATGTCTGACTGGACCTATATCTAACTATCCCTTCTAAGCATCCCGGGTGTAGTTTGTTTGTATAACGAATTAACTGAAAAAAACCGGGGCAGCTTTCTTCATTGGAATGCAGTTCATTGGAGTCAACTTCAACACAGACTGCCAAAGGCATAAGATCACCTGCCGTAGAATTGTTATCTTCAGATGCTTTGTTGTCACCTTGTACAATCCGTGAGTCATCGTCAAAGCCATTCAGAAAGGTCGGGCGCGCAGTGGTACCTGTCAGTGAAAGTAGGTCGTCTCCCGCACGTAAACGACCCTTCATATAGTTTCGGAAATCTTGGGAAAAGTTCCGCGGGTCGTCTTCTAGATGAACACTGATAACGCTAGAGAGAATCTCTACGACGTAACTCCGGTCTAGCTTGGTTCGTGTCAAGTTCACTCTGAAGTCTATTGTGAAATGATCGATTGGAGGAAAATTTTCCGTCTGGGGTATATGTGGACCTTGGGATACTTCGACGGTCAAGATTTCTGACGAAGACCTCAAAAGACAGATAAGTTGCTTGCTTATGCTATCAACTACTTCAGCCTCAAACTTTGGGGAAGGGTAGACAACCGTAACTCTTAGTTGCCATGGATAGACACAACCATGATAATTATCGACTTTTTCACCTCCTATGTGACACAGCTCCAATGAACAGGACTCATTTTGTAGTTCGCCACATCGTATGGACTTCCATGGGTATTTGTTTACATCGCGATTCTTAATCAAAAGCTCAGTATCAGAGAAACCTACCTCAAGAAAGACTGATCTTTGACCAGCGCTGCTGCAAAGTTCTACTTCTATATCGTCGATGGGGAGTAAAAATCCATTCACAACCGACCGTCTGATCAGATAAAACAAATCGGATGTCGTGTTGATAGAATCAAAAACATGATCGTTCTGTGGGGCTAAATTTACACTCCATAAAAGAGTGTTTGAATCCTCGGTGGCGTAACAACGGAAAACGTTGACATTTTTGTAGATTATTTTCGTGCTCTTGTCGAAAACGGGAGTAATACTTTTGAGATAACCGACAATGTCTTCTTGGTCAAGATCAAAGACCCCAACGTCTCGTTTTCTGATGTCAGAACGCCCACCCCGGCTCGGGCAGTCAATGATACCTAAATACTCCGCATAGTCAATGCAGGAGGCTGTGGCGTGCCTAACATTAAAAGGTAACTTGCTTAGAAATTTCTCCTCCTCCCCTGGGCAATGGTCATTGATATCGTCACAGCAGTTGCCAGTCCAGGCGCAGACTCCACCACACGCACAAGGCACTCGGCTTGGGTCTCCGCAGTTCCGGTTCTTGCAAGAAGGCGTCACCGTAGAGAGACCGTGTGTGTCTGGTTTGGAATAGAAACACACACACATATATATATATAACTTACACAGATATTAATTATAATGATAATACATACAGGGGCAGCTCGTGGTTTGTTGAACTGACCGGCTGTCGCTCACATTGATCTCCCTCTGTCATCCACTCCTGCCTTTCCTTCTTTTTTTCACCGCCCCCCCTCCCCCACCCTACGACAATGTGCTAAAAAATATGGCCTTAACCCAATATTGAGACAGCGTGAGAATTTCCAAGAATTCCGTCATTTATACCAGCAATTTTTGGAAGACGACGAAAAATTCTTCAGCTATTTTCGAATGAAACCCAGTAGATCTAGTTAGGTTACAATAAAGAATACAAATTTTGACTGAAATCGGGAAAAGTATCGTGTTCGCATGGCTACCTAGTCTTGTGGGCATCCGAGAAAACGAGTAGGTGGATCTCCAGGCGAAGGAATCCTTGTCCCTTCTGTTGGGATCGAGGAGAGAGTTACCATTTTACCATTAGACACATTTTAACAAAATGCTTAGACTTCAGAAAGACCCGAGGGGAATATTTTAAATGCAAAAAACTGCAAATCTGTTTTCCATTGTTGATCCCAACAGAATCCATAATTTTATAAAGTCCTTTGGCCTTTACGGTAAATTATAAATAACGTTGAATTTTGAATTTTATTTAAAAAGTTATTTTAAACTAAGACATTTTTTAAACTGCAAAATAGAAATATTGACCAAAATCAAACCGTGCAGTGAATTGTTGTGAAAGCAACCAACTTGTTTCACGCGCTCAGATAACCTTATGCAGTGGCGGTGGGTGGACCAAAATTTGGGTGGGGCTTAGGTTTCTTCCAGTGTTTTACCACCAAATAGCAAGCAATACGAATTAAACAGTGATGATTTTTCTATACTCACGGTGAGCCACGGCAGTTTGAGAACCATTCAAACGAGAAGAGTTGCCTTTGTTTTCAATCTCTTTGTTCTTAGTTAAATTCTTGTTGATGGTGGGGACGAAGACGATTCACCTCCAAATATCCTCTAATTAGTTTTCGTGTGATGAAAAAGTTATAACTGTTAAATCTCAGCAGCACAAACACAAACATGCACACACAGCACTTCAAACATAATACTTCTATGAG